CCTTATTCCCTCCAAAAGAAAATGCTAATGCCAACTATATATACTTAGTAGCACTAATGTATCTAAATGAGAAAGCCTCTCTCTTATGGCTCGCCCGGGATCTAAGCGTATTGAAGTTCAGAAACGACTCCCTGTAGGCCAACGAAAGCTGTCATTTGTGGACATGACTACTATTTAGCTAGGATAAACTAACTGTCTAAGATAGTGGCCGTCCAAAAGAGGGAATAAAGGTCCAGAGATTCTTTCCTATATGTACTCTCCGATTCTCCTTCATCATCTTCTTGCACTTTCTTTGTGGTACCTTTTTGTTGTCCTTCATTTTGAGTAATCAATCATTCCGCTTTTCTTTCTTATTACGTTGTCTTGACTTGTCTTGGTGAATCAACCAGAACCCAATGAATAATGCGGGTCTTCATTCAACTATTTCCCGGGACTTTTAGGTAAGATGAAAAGCAGCAAGCCCATAACATAGGAAGTTGTAGCTCAGTCTATCTTTCTGCCCAGAATGAATGCCTAACGGAAACTACTCCACTGAATTGAGGTACTTTCTCGTTTTTGGCATAAAGCCCAACAATTGCTTAACGAATGTATCTCAGGCTATCAGATATACCGATTTTCTTCAGTGAGAAATTTGGCCGAAAAGTGCTTGAAGCTGAAGTTCTTGTACCCTATTTGAAAACTGTAGGATAGCAGACCCATATGAGTCCAACGATTTTTGCTGAACTGTCAAAGCCAGGCCAAAAATAGGAGTAAATAAAATAAGGATTCAGTATTTTTTAGATGTACAAAGACAGTTGCAGCTGATGATCGAGATTATTCCGAAGAAAGCCTGAGGGCACTGTTCCTAGGTTCTCTTGCACATGATCCTCTGCTTCCTTCCTTATTTCACTAATGCTTTAGGGACAACCTATTTCATGGGTTTCTCACCCTCTAGTACAGAGCTCTTTCCTTTCGGATCTTGCTTTCACCCCCTAACATGGAAGACTGAGATTCGTAGTCTAGTTTGCTTTCAGTGCGCGTTTGTAGCCTAGTATGTAGACGGAATCGCTATCCAATTAAGAGGAGTGAGTTACTCTGTCATTAGCTAGCCCTCGGAGTCCCTATGTTTTGTCTAGCCCAGGTTTCTCAGATGAAACTCTGGGATGCCGGAAAGAGATCGAAGCTCTCTCTTCTGACGATGGTTGGAGTTTACGTCAGTCAAAGTGACATTTTTTAAAGGCTAAATAAGAAATGTTCAGACCTTCGCTTGATTCAGCCTATGGGAAAAGACAAAACGAGGATGATCGTCTGATTGTACCTGATCCTTTCCTTTCTTATCTAGTTTCAAACTCTCTTGAAAGGGGCCAGCTAACCACTCGCTTAAGTGTCAAATGGTTTTTTGAGTGCATTTAATCAATCGATCCTTGGTTTACGTGTGTAGGATGACTCCCCTCTGGTGAAGGTATCGTAACAATTTTAAGGTGATGTTAAGTATGTTTTATTCATAAAATTTGGAAAGCATTTATTAATATATGCACAACTATATTCTACTTTAGTCAATATTCTTTGATTTCTTTTTAGTAATTTTTCGTAACAAATTTTAAGTTAAAATTAGACATTAATTATTAATTATTTTTATTTAAGTTGCGAAATAATATAATTAAAATTTACTATAATTCAAGAGACCTTTTACGATTTCCAAAATTTAGGCACAATGATGAAATCGATGCCGGAGATCTGAGAAAGGAGATTAGGGTTCTGAGGTTGGAGGAGAAGAATTTGATAAAAAATCGATGCAAAAGATCTAAAAATTCTCAACTTAAACCTTCAGTAGTTCGAGGCAAGGTGCTTTCAAAAATTGCACCTCCCTATTTTGTCAAAAACGTCTAAAAACTTAAGATTAAACCGCGAATGTCTAGATCGAGATGTTTATCGAGATTTTGGTGTGCTAGTGACGTTTTTGAGTGATTCCTGTACTTTTAACCTCAGGAGTGTGATTTTCGTTAAGTTTTGGAGTGGAGGCGGTCGAGATTTCCGTTCGAATCGATGTTTCAAGAAAACACGATTTTCGATAAGAACTCGTATTTTTCTACAAATTCGAACTCAAATAATAAGACGTGTGATTACCAAAACAATTTAAGAAGCATATATGGTAGAAATAGAATAAGAGATCTACAATATTCGTGAAGCGATTCAGATTATGAATTGGAAGATATAATAATTGAAAGAAAATGGATCGAGAACGCTAAAAACTCACGTTTCTCAAAAGTTTGGAAAAAACGCAGGAGGAAGAGAAGAATGCCGCCAAGCGTCGGCCGGCGTACGGAGGAGCACGACAGAATCGGTGTTAGACACATGGCACATTTCGGCAGGTGAGGCGTGCCCCATGTCACAATTGCACTTTTGATGGCAGCAGACTTGCGATTGTGCGTTACTCACTTTCCAACGCCAAGCGACATATGCTCGAGCCTCTACCCTAGGTTTTAAGAGAAGATTTTAGAAAACGAGGGCATAGAGATTTTTGAAAGAGACGTTATATAAGCAAGCAAGAGAGAAATAACAATGGCTCACAGTATATAACCTTGGGTAGGGAGAAGTTGACAACTAGTCGTATCCCCCTATAGTCATTCTAAGGCATTTCATGTCTGGCAGGCCTAGACATGATATTTATGAAACGTCATACTTCCTAGAAATACAAAAGTAAAACACTAGAATATGAAAAGACATAAAGGATTTGGCTTGTCATGGGCATGCGGCCATTGGCAACACGCCTTGGATGAGGAGCATGACCGTGACATCCTCCCCCACCTAATTGGTTGACGTCCCTATCAACCGACTACTTTCAAACCTGCCGATGTGGGTGGCGGCTGAGTACAGATCTTCGGCGCGTTCCCAGCTGGTTTCCTCCGAAGGGAGATTCTTCCATTTGACAAGGACTTCACGAATCATCCGTATAGGTCTTCCTATCTTTCTAACCCTGTTGGCTAGGATCTCCTCTATTTCTTTGGTGTCTCTTTGTTTCAGATCGAAGCTTGGTCTCGTGATTATATTTCGCTGATCGTCGTCTGGGTCAGGGTGATAGGGCTTCAAGTTGCTCACATGAATAACTGGGTGAATTTTCATCCATGTTGGTAGCGCAACTCTATAGAAGGTAGCCTCAATCTTTTTAAGAACTGCTAGGTTATGTCTTATTTATAGCTTAGTCAACATTTATATCCAGTAAAGCTATATTTGGTAAAGCTATATCCGGTAAAGCTATATATGGTAAATAACTATATATAGTAGATGGTTAAATCTGGTAAACCTATATATAGTAAACTGAACTATATAAATATCCTATTTTTTGTGTTCATCTAGATCGAGTGTGTGCGTTGTTGTGCGATCCCAACAACGACTTCAACCGGCCTTTCATATTTTCGAACTAGTCTCTGGTTCTTTTGGCTACAAAATCTAATATGTTCTGGTCTCAACTTGATGAGGACTTGATCTCGTGCTCGAAATTGGAGGGGGCGACGCTTCTTGTTCGCCCACTTCTTCATATGCTTGAAAGCTTTCTCTAAATATGCCCGAGCTATATCTGTTGTCTACTTCCATTCTCTTGTGAAGTTTTGAGCTTGAGAGTTTTTTCCTACATAAGGATGATCAATAATATGGGGCAAGGCCGGTTGTCTCCACTTACAATTTCGAACGGACTCTTTTTTCTAGACGAGCTCGTTTGACAATTGAAACCGAATTGGGCGACATCTAGCAGTTGTATCCAGTTCTGCTGGCGAGCGTCGACGAAGTGACGTAAGTATTCTTCGAGCAAGCAGTTGAACCGTTTCGTCTGTCCATCGATTTGAGGATGATAGCTCGAGGAGATGTTTAAAGTCGTTCCCAAGAAGGCGAATAATTCAATCCATAATGTGCCAATGAATCTACCATCCCTATCACTGATGATGCTTGACGGAATGCCCCATAACTTTACAACGTGTTTGAAAAATAGTTGGGCTGTTAGTTCAGTCGAGCATAATTTGGGAGTGGGGACAAACGTCACATATTTCGAGAACCGGTCTACAATAACCAAGATGGCGTCATATTCCACGACTTTTGGGAGGTGTGTTATGAAGTTCAGAGACACACTTTCCCAAGGCCTTGTTGGCACAGGTAGAGATTTCAAGAGTCTCGAGACTTTGGCTTTCTCAACTTTGTCCTGTTGGCAAATGAGGCACGTCTTGGTGTACAGATAAGAATCACGGTGTTCCAAATGGACCTATTGCCAATAAGATTCAAAAAAATGTCATGAATCGTGTGAAGAGCTCAATTTATTTCAAGTCTGTTGCATTAACCACTCAAGCACATCAACATTTGTTAGAAAAAAACTATGTTTAATTTCATAAATTATGTAAAAGTCAAATGGTCAATTTGACTTATTCTTTGTGGAGATTAAAGAGGATCGAGAATAAATCCCATCCACAAACATATCGGGATTGAATCCCGGCCACAAACATATTTTTTCGGGAGGCTATTAATACCCACAATATGTTATGTAAAAAACAGATTCGTGGATGAATGTTATTCAGATCTCAAATTGAGACGTTTCCCTTAGAAATCCGAGTATCATATTTGCCATTTCTAAGTTTCAAGCAATTCTTGTGGTAGAATTGCACCCGAGCCATTCAATCAAGCCTTGATCAAGTTAGATTGTGGAGTGACTCAATTTAGAACAAGGTTACAAATCTTGCTTCTAGATCTTCGATCGTATGAGGTAATCTAATTCTAGCCTTATCTCTTGGTTGATCCAAATTTCGTATAAGGAGGTGTCAATTACTTTGATTCAAGGGTTCTTGCTAAAACAAAAGCTTGGATCGTTGGGCTGAGGATTTGGGTTGCCTTATCACACATCTTCTTGGGCTCGTCCCCTTTGGCGATACATACTTGGTAGTACCCTGATCGTAAGTCCAACTTCGTGAAGTATTTGGCCCCGTGAAGTTGGTCGAATAAGTCAGATATTATCGGCAGTGGGTATTTGTTACGTACTGTCACATTAAGGCTCTATAATCGATGCACAGACGCAATGTCATATCCTTCTTTTTCTGAAATAGTACGGGGTCTCCGTAAGGCGCCTTTGCCAGGCAGATGAACCCTGCCGTCAACAACTCATCTAGTTGTTTCCTCAATTCGGCTTGCTCAGGGAGAGCCATCCAGTATGTGTTCTTCACTGGGGGTTTAACCCCGGGGAGGAGTTTAATTTCGTGATCAATGCCTTGACGGGGTGGTAATGCTTGTGGTAAGCTCTCTGGCATTATGTTAAAATAACTTTCTAGTACCTCCTTGATTTCGCTTGGAATAGATTCCTCAGTGGTCACTTCTTCTATCAGTGGTATAGCCATAAATGTAGGTTCATCTTGTGTGAGTCCTCTTTTCAATTGTATGACCGAGATCATTCTAAGATTACCTGGTTGCTTGATGCTTGCAGGTATTATTGTGGGGTTGTGGTCGGTGATCACCAAGCATTTCGCCAGTGGCATTGGGTTAACTTTGTGTTCTAGGAGGAAGCCCATCTCAAGTACCACGTTGAAGTCGTTCATGCGAACCACGACAAAGTCCAACTCTCCTGTCCAAGCCCCTAATTTGAAGGTGACTCTTTTGGAAATTCCCACAATAGGCAAGGCCTTGGAGTAGACAACTTTCATTTTTTCGAGGTCCTTTTCTATGGTGAGTCCCAATCTTCGTGCTTTATGATCAGCGATGAAGTTGTGGGTCTCTCCCGAGTCTATCAAGGTGCTTTTGCTTGGTCGAGAGTTTATTGTCGCATCTACGAACATGAGCCCTTTCTCTATTAGCTCCCTTGTGTCGACCTTTTGTTGGAGGGCTGACAAGAATTTGAACGCGCCCATTCAGGGGTTGTCTTGATCTTCCTTCTTGTCTGGCATAGTCTCGACTCCTGTGTCGTTGCTCTCTTGAATGGACACTTGGAGTGCACTGAGAGAGTCTCGATGAGGACAGTAGGAGAGTCTGTGGGGGCCTTTATGATGGTGTTAATATAACACATGCGGAAGCAATTTAGATCTTAGGCACTTTTAGAACATCAATTATAGTAAATAACTAGCATGTTCATAAGTATTAAAACTTAATGAGTTTGAATACTAACCTTTTGTAGTTCAAATTTCTTTTTCACATACTCATGCCTTTTCTCCCACTTGCCCTAGATTACATAACTCGTAGTCCTAGACTCACTAGGTGCCCTTCAAACACTTTAGCCGTGAGGGGCTTTGTAAATGGATCAGCAATGTTGTGCTCTGAAGCTATCTGTGTGACGATCACATCTTCTCGTTGCACAATCTCCCTTATGAGATGATATTTGTGCTCAATATGTTTTCCTCGCTTATGGCTTCTTGGTTCTTTTGAATTTGAAACTGCTCCACTGTTATCACAATAATGAGTGACGGGAAGATGCATATTTGGAACGACTTCCAAATCAGTTAAGAACTTCCTAAGCCATACAGATTCTTTCGCTGCTTCACAAGCAGCAACATACTCAGCCTCCATGGTGGAATCAGCAATGCAACCTTGCTTTATGCTTCTACATATTATTGCTCCTCCGTTTAGAGTGAAGACAGATCCTGATGTCGATTTCCTCGAATCTACATTGGTTTGAAAATCTGAGTCAGTGTACCCAGTAAGGATCAGATCCTTAGCACCGTACATTAGCATATAGTCCCTCGTTCTCCTAAGATACTTGAGGATATTCTTAACGACAGTCCAATGAGCACGTCCAGAATTGGACTGATATCTGCTAACAATTCCCACAGCATAGCATATGTCGGGTCGGGAACATAGCATGGCATACATCAGACTACCGACCGCTAATGCATAGGGAATGTGTCTCATATCCTCAACTTCTTGAGGTGTCTTAGGACTTTGTTTCTTCGACAAATGAACTCCATGCCTGAAAGGTAATAATCTTTTCTTGGAGTCCTGCATCTTATATCGAATCAATATTTTGTCGATGTACAATGCCTGAGACAATGCTAGTGGTTTGTTCTTGCGATTCCGAACAATTTGGATTCCAAGAACAAACTAAGCCTCTCCCAAATCTTTCATTTGGAATTGTGTCGCTAGCTAATGCTTAATGTCAGTCAGAAATCCCACATCATTTTCAATGAGTAAGATATCGTCAACGTACAACACCAGGAAAGCTATTGTAGAGTTGACTATCCTTTTATAAACACAACGTTCGTCAACATTCTGTATAAAACCATAAGATTTGATCATAGTATCAAACTTTATATTCCAGGATCGAGATGCTTGCTTCAACCCATAAATGGATCTTTTAAGCTTGCAAACCCTTTGCTCGTGATCCTGTTCAATGAACCTCTCTGGTTGAGCCATATAGATACAATCTTCAAGATTGCCGCTTAGAAAGGCTGTCTTAACATCCATATTCCAAATTTCCTAATCATAAAATGTGGCAATAGACAAGAGTATTCTAATCGATTTAAGCATAGCAACAGGAGAGAAGGTTTCTTCATAGCCCACCCCCTCTCTTTGGGTATAACCCTTTGCTACTAGTCAAGCTTTAAAGGTCTGTACCTTACTAGTTTGGTCTCGTTTCGTCCTATAGATTCATTTGCAACCAATAGATTTTACCCCATGTAGTTGATCTACAAGTTGCCCGACTAAATTGAAGTACATTAATTCCATTTCAAGATTCATGGCTTTAATCCACTGATCTTTATCTTCATCATTCATTGCCTGTTTATAGGTCAATGGATCCTCAATGCCATCATCAGGTATGATGACTTGAGTTTCTGCCAAACCCAAGTAACGATCGGGTTGAGTTATAACCCTCCCACTACGTCGAGACATTCTCAACTCTTGAGACGGATGTGATTGACCAGAAGTGTCAGCTCCATCAACAACTCTTGTTGAAGAACCAGCTTGATCAGCAACTCTTACACCAAGAAGAAGACCTTTCATGTATTATGATCACTCTATTTATAGAGTCATGTTTGCATGTTCATGCAAATTTGAGATCACCAAATTTTGACACTCAAAATCCACTCAAATGTTTGGGGATTATGTGGCAAGCATGGATGCTTGAGTTAACCAAATTTTGACACTCAAAATTCCACTCAAATTTGTGGGGTTTATTTGGCAAGCATGCAAGTTTGGTTAAACCAAATTTTGGCACCTCAAAATTCCACTAACATGGATTTTTCCATTAAATGAAGTCAACATTTTGACTTTCTTCATTTTGATTCAACCATCAATTTGAATTATTAATTTCAAATTAAAGTAATATTAAATGATTAATTAAACTATTTAATTAATATTTAATATTAATTCAAATGTCAATCCCAATTAATTCTGACACATTTGATTAAGATATGATATGAACCACGACCAAGGAATTTCCATACCTGAAGGTCCAATTACAAGGACGAGAGCTAAGAAGCTACAACAAACCTTATACAGTTATATTCAAGCTATGGTGAGCTCATCAAAGAAAATTCTAGAAGACGCTGAAGACCTCCCTTATATGTTTTGCAAAGTTGAGCTTCAAGAAAGAGATGAATTAAATGCACTTTAAGTTGCATTTAATGAACTCCGCTGAATTTATGAAACTAGTCCAAGGATGAGTCAATAAGCACATTTTATAAATTGCATTATTTAATTATAGTTTAAATATTTGTTTGTCATATTTAAGCTAGTTTTAAATATAAGAGTTAAGGTTATATTGTAACCCACATAGGTTACTATATTCCACCAATAACTAGCCATTTTAATATGGAAGTTATGGGTATTTTTCATTTACTAGCCCATTTAATTTGGGAGTTATATATCACATAGGTTAAGATTGTAAGGGCTATATAAAGCCTTCTTCTTTCATTAGACGACAGATTTTGGAATTAAGAATAGAATTTCTATTTTAGCTTTGTTGAGAGCTAAACTTTCTTTGCAAATTCTTGTGTTTAGAACTTGCATGTAGAGTCATTCAAGTGGTATTGATCAAACCTCTTGTGGAGTAATTCGAATCACGAGTTTTCTTTACTCTTGATCTTGATCATCAAGGTAATCCGTTCCATACTTTCCCTTGGGTTGATTTTCCATATCATTTGATATCAGAGCTTCAGGCTCAAAATCGGATATATGTTTCATTGTGCTTATCTCTTTTAATTCTCTTATAATTTTTTTCTCAGTTTGTGTAGAATGTTCATGTTCTATCACAAAAATATATAACAAAAAAAAAAAAAATCTTATGTTGTTTAAAGTGTTCGATTTGGATCTTATCAACACTTTTTTATTCTTTAAGATCTTCTAAATCAATTTTTTTGTTGGTAAATTTATTAGATTTTGCCAATCAGAAGGAAAAAAAAAAAAAACCATTGAAAGAAAGAAAGCATATTGATGTTAAATGTCTTTCTTTTTTTTCCTCTTGATTATTATATGTAACTCTCATATGTTACTACGTCTAAATTAGTCCTTAATCATTTTCTTTCTTTAATTCGTTTCTTCGTCGTTATTCGGATTGCTCCTTCAATACCCTTGTGTATGTGTTGAATGTGCTGTCTATTCACTTTGAATTGCACTTAGCTCTATAACATAGCTTGTCTCACATCCCAATTTGTTTTTTGGAGTGTGATTTGTGTGTGCTCAATTGTGAGGGTAGTTTGTAAGGGAGTGACACATTGATTCGAGTGTTGAGTGCTAAACACGAGTGAACTACATTTACGAGTGAATACACGTGAGGGAGTGCTTGTGAGGTCCTTTTTTTTTTCTTTTTTTTTTTTTTTTTTGTAGCATGGAAAATCCAGACAACAATACTGACATTACTGATGCACGATTGAGAGAAGCCCAACAACGAACAATGGAAAGACTAATTCGAGGAAGAGAAGAGTTGACTGATCGAATAGGTAGATTGGAGATTCAAAATCAAGCTCGACAGAGGATTCCATTACCTACGCCCTCAACCGATACATATGAGGGCGACAATTCTGATCACCACGAGGATAATCCACATGTGGTTGGTCATGGCTTGATGCGAGGGAGAGACCATGGAAGAAGGTATCATAATTTACAACAACGAGTTCCTTATGATGATAGAATTGATCGTAACGTGGGGAGCATCAAATTAAAACTTCCCAAGTTTTATGGCAAAACCGATCCAGAGGAGTACCTTCAATGGGAGAAAACGGTGGAGTCGGTGTTAAACTGTCATAATTTTAGTGATGAAAAGAAGGTACTGTTATGCATTGCTCAATTCAAACAATATGCTCAAATTTGGTGGGATAAATTGATGTCAAGTAGGAGAAGAAATCTTGAAGCACCAATTGATTCATGGGTCGAGTTCAAAGAGTCCATGAGGAAGCGTTTTGTTCCACAATATTTTCACCGGGACATGGCGCAAAAGCTTCAAGCATTGAAACAAGGACACAAATCTGTGGAGGATTATTACAAGGAGATGGATACATTGATGGATCGACTTGAACTCGATGAGGACATGGAGGCTCTCATGGCGCGGTTTCTTAATGGGTTAAACACAGAGATTGCGGACAAGACTGATTTACAGCCTTATTCTAATATTGAGGAGTTGTTGCACATTGCAATTAAGATCGAGAGGCAAATTCAACGAAGGTCTCAACGGTATTCTTCTAAAACTTTTCCCAATTCTACTTCTACATGGAAAAGGGATAGTAAGAAAGTTGATTATAAGCATAGAAATCAAGATTAATGAGAAGCCTTGATATGAACCAAAAGACATCAATCATACAATATACTTCAATGAAGATGTGAAGAAAAGGTTGTCAAAATTATCAAAAGATGTTTCAATTCATGCCACATTGAAGAAGAATGAAGTTTGATTGTTATAAATTTTGGGTGGGTTACAATTTAG